ATGAACTTCATCTGGACCGGGTGCAGTCTGTTTAGGACAGTGGAGAACCATTTCAAGTTCACGCATTGTAAATGGAGCATTGTAGGGATCTTGAAAACCACTCGAAATGTTAACAGCCTTCTTTTACATCTGTGCTTTGTGTTTAAGAAACGTAGGTGTGTAGTTTCTTGAGCTAGAAACAAATTCGAAATGTTCTCCAAGAATATCTGCCTGTTCCTCGAGGCTTTCAGGGCATATTCCATTTTTTGTCAAAAGAGGAACGGAAAAAGCATGATACGAGCCATTAATTTTATGAACTCGATCCCAAACCTCCTTTGGTGTTGCCTGATTGTTCACAGCAGATGTATACTTCTCCCAGCAATTCCTCTTTGTGACCGCCTGCGGACAAATCGTGCACGCGCCTTCATTTTCTTGAACGAAATAAGATTACTTGGCGTTGGATATCGCCTAAATATGCCCCATGGTTTATTTTGTTTCTTCTTTGCCTCTTTGCAGTCCTGATTCCACCACGGCTTAGGCCGTTTGGGGAGGTGAGTGGACGTCATTGGTATTGCAAGCATAGCAGCTTCTAGTATGTGTTTTGTGACATGACCTGTTGCGTCATCGACAGAGAGCTGATGGAGGGATGTAATAGCTAAAAGAGATGATTGCTTAAAAAGTGTCCAGTTGGCTTTGTCAAACTTCCACCGAGGTGACCGTGTTGGAAGTGTGACAGGATGATTCTGGAAATCTAAAATAATGGGAAAATGATCGCTGCCGTAGGGATTAGGGATGACTTTTCATGAAAACAGTGGAAGTAATGTCGGATGCACAAGTGAAAGGTCGATTGATGTGAATGTATGTGTTGCTGAGGAAAAGTACGTAGCCTCTTTAGAGTTGAGCAAACACAACCCTGTTGAAACCAAAAAACGTTCAATAAGTGCTCCTCGTGTATCCCTTCGTGCACTTCCCCACAGAGGGTTATGAGCATTAAAATCGCCTACGAGCACAAAAGGAGGAGGTAGCTGATCACAAAGAGCTTCGAGCTCTTTATACTCCAGGTGATCATTTGGAGATATGTATACAGAACAAATAGTTATTAAACGGTCAATCAGTATACGGACAGCAACAGCCTCTAGTAATGTGTTTAAGGGAACTTCAGTGCAAGGGACTGAGCGTTGTAAAACAACAGCAGAACCTCCAGACGAATGGCTCGAATGTTGACGATCCTTGCGAAACAGCTGGAAATGCTTCAGGATTTTCGAGTGACTTTCCTTCAGGTGAGTCTCTTGCAAACAGAAGGCAATAGGACTGTGCTCCTCTAGCAGGTCAGTAACATCATCATAGTTTGCAAGTAAGCCTCGACAGTTCCATTGAAGGAGAAGTGGAGGCATTAATATCAGGAGTAGATGAAAGTATACGGAACAGTCAATTAAATCCAATCCAAAAATGTAGTTCCCACAAAAAACTACTTTGGTGGAATTACTGGCTTTTTTTTTTTTTTTTTTTCCTTAGATTTGGTTGTCTCCCACTCCATGTCGTCTTGGTCGGACGAAAGAGCGGAAAGCTCGGTGGCCTCGTCTTTCGCCTCCACCTCTTGAGACGAGGCTTGCTGTATAGGTCTGGGCAATGTCGAGGCACGGGGCCGAACTCCCCGGCCACGACCGCCCTCACTCAAAAAGCAGTAGTGGAGGTGCTGGGCTGAGCGTCGCCCAACTCCATCTGTCCCAGCCCCTCAGCTGTTGAAGGAGCGGCGCGATGCCGCTCCTTGGACGAGGTCCTCTCCCGTGAGTTGGGGCGAGACTCTCGCTCCTTCTCCCTGGCGGGGGCCCTCAAAGTGGGGACAGACAGAGGGGTTCCCTGCCTGTCCCGTGGTCGGGAAGCAGCTGGCGCGCTCCCTCCAGAAACCGGAGGAAGCTGCTGCCGCTGCTGGGGGGTTGGGGACTGAAGAGCCACTGCCAGGACCTCAGGTGAGACCTGAGTGGCCTTCGATTCTGTTCGCGGTGCTGGTCCCCTTAGCAGCGCTTGGGCAAAAGTTTCTTTTGCAAAAAAAGGAATACTGTTGTTTTCCCCCCTGGTAGGTAATGTTCTTTTGTGCTTTAAGGGTTAGAATTTCTTTTTCTTGTTTCCATTGTGGGCATATTCTGGCATAAGCAGCATGATTGCCTTGGCAGTTGACACATTTGAGAGTATTCTCACAAATGTCAGCAACATGGTCGTTGCTGCCACATTTTGCGCAAGTTTCACGGCCCCGACAGTTCCGCGAGCCATGCCCGAAGCGCTGACATCGGAAACATCTTTGTGGATTGGGAATGAAAGGCCGGACTTTGCAGTGCAAATAACCAGCTTTAACGGTCGCAGGAAGCGTATGCAGCTCAAAGGTCAGTATCAGATGCTTGGTTCCCTGCTCCTGCCCGTCTTTGCGGATGGTGATTCGCTTGACGGCCACCACAGCCTGTTTCTGGAGTCCAGCCAGAATTTCGTCCTCACTGCAGTCAATAAGATCAGCCTCGGAGATGACACCTCGGACACTGTTCAGTGTCCGGTGTGGGCCGACCTTTATCTTGTGTTCTCCTAGACACGTCTGTTTTAGAAGTGTCCTGCTTTGAACTTCAGTTTCTACTTCTACGAGAAGATTGCCAGAAAGCTTTTTCACCTTGAAAGCTTTGCCAATGATGGCATCAAGGCATTTAGATACAAGGAAAGGCAAGAGCTTAGCCAGTGGCTTTTCTTCATCAAGGGCTTGAAGGAAAAAAAATCTTGGAAACTTTGGTGGTTCAAATGCTTTTTCAAAAGTAATTACGGAGCAACCCCTTTTAGGGGGCGCACCGTGTTGGGTTTAGAAGAGGAGGCAGCCATAAGAGGCGAAGTTTGTTCGGAACCTGTGGTGTGCCGCCCACCACGGAGCCCAACAAGGGAATAGATAACGCACCATAACAAAAAGGGCTTTGCTGGAGACGTTATGCTATTAGCACTGCCCAGGAACTATAACCAAGTGTGGTTCTGGACAAGGGGTCTGTCACCACCCAAGGTTAGCCCTTGCCGCCAAAGAAGTTGAAAAAGGAAAGAAGAGAAATGAGAAGAGTGAAAAGGAGGGGAAGACAAGGGTGAAAGTAGGGAGGGGATAGTAGAAGTGGCGACTAGACTGAATCATCCTGGCCGGGCCTTACCAGGACTCCCGTCTACGAGAAGCGGGGGCCGAAGTGGTGTATTGCCTCGCCCGGGGGGCCCCGAAGGGTCCAAACCTACCCCGGGCTCGGCTCAACCACCAGGATGCCCTTTTCCCCGGACACGGGAAAGCCACGCACAGCCAGACGTGGGCGGGCGAACCCGCATGGCTCGGAGTCCGTGGAGACGCCACTCTCCAAACACCTGCTTTCACAGGTGCACTGCGAAGAAGCAGCACTCACGAAGAGTGTTGCTTCTTCGCAGTGCACCGGTGCTCAATAAGAAGCGCGCTGACTGAGGCTAACCCTCCGAGGTGAACACTTCGGAAAATATGATTATCGAAGTTCATCTCAAAGCCATTATTATATAGCGTATTTAATACGCTATTTGCTTTGAGATGAGCTCTGACATTCATATTTTTCGAATAGTAGTTTCGAAAATTTGCCAAACACTACAATTTTCTCTTATGCTTACTGATATCTTCGTTTGCGATTTTGGTGGGTGTCGCGGCACCGATTATTTATACGAGCGCTTATTTTTTGCGTTGGCTGCAGCCGGCCGGGGGCCGAACGTCACTAAAATGAACCGGGACCATTTGCGGGCGGGCGGATCTCGCCCGCGCGCTGGGGTTTGGAGACCCCCTGCTCTAGACAATGAATGCTAATAAATGATTATACAAAAGCTAAAGAGTCAAAGGAAAGCGCGCGCACGCTGACGAACATGCGGTTTTGTCAGAAATGAGAGTGCAGGCGACCTCGTTGGGAAACGACATACTTGTAAACCCTAAAATAAAGGAAAAAAGGACAGACAAAGCAATCCAGTCCCAAACACAGCCACAATTTATTGATACGAGCGTTGCAATGAATTGTTTCAAACACAAAAAAAAAGGGATAGGGGCACCCAAAAAACAAATAGGACATCGAACAACCTCCAGGCTCCATTAGACAGACTAAGCCACTCCCAAGGCTCAACACCTGGAAACTTAATGCCTTCGACAACTGAACAAAATCACATCCCGCAAGATCAACCATTCAGACACAACTCGAAAACCTTCACAGCTTAAATTCCCAATCTTCTTACAGCCAAACCGCTTTTCACCCACCCAAAAATAGCACTCCACATCAAAAGTGCACCAACTCCTCCAAACCGTATTTTTTGCAAAAGGTCCATTAGTCTTCAAAACACATTTTTGTTTTTGGAGAGAACTAAAGTTTCATCCCACAAAGGAAAAAAAAAAAAAGAAATTACAAGAGCCCACAGCATTCTTTTTTTTTTTTTTTATCGTTCCGTGAGGCGGTTTTTAAAAGGCTGGTTTTGTTTAGCGGGACAAACCTCAAGTAAAACAAAACTTGTTTAATTTTGCGGAGTTTGACTACCTGTAATACGATTGATAATGAGAGATTATACAAAAATCAAATACCGGTGTAATTACATTTAATGCGGTAATTGCAGCACAATAAGAAACACAGAAACGGGACGCATTACTTATACAATTAACGTTCAAAGCTAAGAGGGGCTTTTCCTCTCATCAAGCAGAAGGCACTTGTTGACATCACAAACGTTTGGGTGCAACGTCCGAAATTTTGATGCTGACTTGCGGTTCGCTCCTCGCCCTCACCGCAGTGCGCTCGGATAGATAACGTGTTTATATTTGCTTTAACGCTGCTGTGTAATCAATGAGAATCGTAATAAAAGGATGCCCGAACGCGCGCGCAATACATTGCAGCAGTTTCGTTTCCCCGCACGATGGCAGCCCTTTGTTATCTGTGGTGCGTTTGCGCGTACTCATTCGCAACATATTCAGATTTTAAGACTCGCGTTGACACTAAGTGGAATCTTGAGACTTTACTTACCATCTTCGGACTCAAAGCGCAGATGGACGACAACCAGCTGGAAGTGGTGGATATCGGTGACATGCCGGAGCAGCTCAGAGGGAGCGCTGAAGCTGTCGCTGCACTGGTAACAATTGTGGCGTGTTCCCTGACCCTTCAGTTTATGCACCGTTTTTAGGTGCTGAAGCATGTTATGGCAAAAGGTAAATACTTTGTCGCACACATAACACTTAGGTTCCTCTGGAAAGACCGTGCACGGTTTACTAGCACCCATAACAGCGAAGCAGAAGCTTGTCAATAAGCGCAAAGCTATTCCGGAACCAAAAGTGGAGAGCGGAGACGTTGCGGATTTACTATGACGTCACACCACGTGACTGCGCGATGTTCAAAGTAAATTCCATTCTCACATTTTATATTTTAGAAGAAATCTATTTCTTTAAAGTTTAGTGCATTGCCCAGCAGTTATCATTTATTTATAATGAGTTTCTTCTTTAAAGGAATGCGTTACACGTGCAACACGTGCAACTAAACAACATTGGTACTGCAATGTCCTAGACAATCCGATCCAATCCACCTAACGACCGGATTTCAAACTGATTGTCACAGATTCGTGCTCGTTTTCTTGTTTCGTTCATCTTGTGCGCTGTTTTACGTTCGTCATGTAAAAGTGTTTATGTTATCATGAGAGGAGTTTTAGTAGGCGATAGTCAACTGAAGTTTTTAAATAGGAACCGCCTTCAGTTTGCACAGCATGTTTGCACGTGCAGCTTCAGCGTCGGAGGTGCAGATGTTGTGACTCTCTTGGCGAAGGTGCAGCAATGGCACTTGAAATCCATGGATTTCGTAGTTATCTACGTCGGCGGCAATGACCTGAGTGACGGACGGGACCCTTCGGATATTTGCCAGGGTATCCTGGTATGTTGTTGCTTTGCTTTTGCCTGGGAATGTACAACGTGGGTGGAAGGGATAGAACGCACTTTAAACTGGCCACAAAGGTTTCTCAACGCATGCGATTATGTACAGAGGTGCAGCAAGGTGATGTATTTTTTCGCTAAAAGAACAATAGATAAACTCATCTCAATCAAAAAAGAAAGAGCTGTTCTTTGCAATCTACTATGGAAGATCCAAGACGGATCGCCTCTACTTGATCTTGCGATCATGCTGCCAACAGAAGGCGCAACCTGAGCCACGGAAGGTTTGCTAGGATATCGAGGCGAAGATAAACAATTAATTGCACTTTGATTGATTGATTGATTGATTATTGGGCGTTTAATGGCGCAAGAGCAACTTAGGCCATATTGCGCCAAAACAGAGGTTTTTATAGGGAGCTTAGAGATGCAATCCAAAAGAACTGCAGGCTACAGCTGGTGTAAAAGGCCAGTTTTATGCAGGAAATTTATAACTCGATTGAACGGCACCAAGGGTTGGTCGCCAAGTAGAAAATAGGGATGGAAAGGAAGGTGATCTCGGAAAAGTTCTGGAAAACATAATCGGCGCTGTTGATTTAAAGATTTACAATGCCACAGGATATGTAAGACAGTCACAGCTTTACCGCAGTTGTCGCAAAGCTTAACATCCTCATCGCAGAGCAGGTGCAGGTGAGTCAAACGGGTATGCCCAATTCTTAAACGGCAAAGAAGAACTTCAACGTGACGATCTTTATGAAAAGAGCTCTCCCATACCCCCAGAAGGGGCTGGAAATTGCACTTTGAAAATCGTACATAATATATGCACGCCGCGCTGAGGGATGAGAAACAAAAACTTTTAAAACACCGTCCGCTAGAACTAAAACCCGACCCGGCGGCCCTGCGAAACCTGCGTCGGCGGACGATGTTTCCGCCATCTGTCGGTATCGCATTCTAAGTCGCAGCGCAATGCGTTGATAAGTTAACTTTTGCGGTCAGTTAAAATGTATTCTACCCATTCCACCCACGCTGTAGAATGGCCACTTCTAATCACATTGTTTTCTTTGTAGAACCTCGTGGAGCTCGTGAGGACAATTAGCTCCACGGTGTTCGTGTTCAAGGTGTTGCCACGGTGTTGGGTGGATGCCCAGGCGGAGACCAGGCGCAATGTGCTCAACCGTCGCCTGGCAAGAGGGGTGCGGTATATGGACGACGTCGTCGTCATCAACCCAGACGTAAGCTCAAGTTTGTGGCCTAGCTTGGTGCTCGGCTTTGAGGTTACTACGGCGTTGCTGGATAACAGCAGCGTTAAAGGGGTCCTGCAATCATATTTAAGCGTCAACCTTTTTTGCGGTTTCCACGTCTCTTGGGGTTCGGGGAAGCCAGCGGGCACGGAGAGAGTAACTAAATATCAGTGCGTCATATTTTAACCGGACGATGCGAAAACGTCCTCGACCTACGGGGGCGACCCGCGGTGCCGAAAGCATGCAATATGTGACGACATCGTGACGTGTTAGGTTCTGGCCTTTCTACTGATCAGAGCCGCCAAAAGCTTCTTTTTAGTCGAAATATAAAATATAAGTGGCACCAGCCATTTCAATTATTTCTAAAATTATATTTTGTTCGATATTTTATATCAGAAAAAAAAAACAGATGCAGTTTATAAAGTACGGAAACAAGAAATGACCCATCAACATGCCCGCCACCAAGCGGTGGAAAAGGCGGCGCATACTAGAAATTTGTAGTGGAATCAGGCACCGGCAAACTTAGAAAGGTCCCGAATGTACGCGGCGGCGCTGCAGTCAAGGATACGACCGGTTCCGAGCATTCCGAAGGCCTTTGGAGAGCAGCAATTGGCTTGCAGTTTGGCCCTTTTGGCAGTATGGCAGTGCTAACTGGCTCCCGATTCAAACTGATCTTTACCCCGTGTTTGCTGTCGTTTGTGGCCAATGAAGTGTCATGCCAAATTAGTGTTTAATCACGCAGCAAATGCAATGCGAGCCACCCTGACTGCCCACTTCGAACAGCCTATCCAGAACATGCTTACATGCGCCCTCTTGAGCCATTTACACAAAGTGCGGCAGCCGTGAGTGCTCGCTGAGCTCACTACCCCTCCTCTAGTTCACGGCCAGTCAAGCAACCAAAAACGTCATGAAGGAGGTTATTTTTTGCTTGTTTTTGTAATTTTAATTTGCCTATTACTCTTAAAATAAAGCGAAATTTGAGAAAAGAAAGGCTTCATTAAGTTACTACGTTCAGTGCGCTCAGGTTCGGTGGAAATTAAAAACCAGCAAAAAAGTCCCTGCAGGCCCCCCCGAAGGAAAAATCCATCAATGTAACCCTGTTTGGCAGTCAATGTTTTCTAGTGGACCGCTGACTGTGCCTGACTGTACGTCAAGCATGTCTGATTGGCCCACAAGTTACTCTGACCGACAGTCAAACTCCAGTCAGACCCCGCTTGTCGGCTTTCTGATGGTTTCCTGGTGGCAGTCGGCCGCCGCGAAATGCCATCAGGATGTCTTGGTGGTGATTCTGACTGTGCATCGATTGTCTCTGACTGTACGTCAGAAAGCTTTGACGTGCAGACAGACGTACGGTCAAAGGACGTAAAGTTCGTTCGGATACCACTATTTCGTCAAATCTATGAATACGAAAAGTAATCTATGCACGAGAAAACGATTTTGGGACGTGAGCCCATAAAACCGCTGACGTTAGAGATATGACACGCAACCGACCGACAACCTTGATCAGAAGCCCGCCGAAGCGCCGAACACGACACTTCGCACTTCGCTTCGCCCATAGAGGCTTCGCCGAGCTTTCATGAACGATCGCTCTCGACTCGTTTTGTTTGCCCGCTCGCTCCGACCTGTCGATCCTGCCCGGGCTCTACAATGTCTTATGTTTTAGTAGAATTTCTACTCGACAAGACCCAGCCTGTTGTGAGTTCCGACGATGTAAGGGACTTTAGCGGTGTAGTTGAAGACGACAGGGTGTACCAGGTCTACTGGGCCGGTGATGCGCGAACAAAAGGATCGTTCTACGACGCGAAAGCACTCTACATGGCAGGTGAGTAGAACGGAAGTACGGCGAGTGATGTACGAGCGCTTTGCATAACATACTGACGACTTAACTGCATTTGCAGCCGAAGCATTTCGTATAAAACGAATAGTCAAATCGAATTTCTCTAACGGTGGCGTAGCATAGCGGTTAGGATGTCCGATTTGTACGCATGTGGTCGCGGGTTCAATGCGTGGTGGTGCTGCTTTTTTTTTTTTCTAGAACATTTTGTTTTATTGAGGCATTTGACGATATTTATGAGTGCGTATAGCTTTACTCTTACATAAATGCTGCCCTTGTTGATGAAATTCCCTTGGCAGTAGCAGTCAGACGTCATCTGATGACCATCAGATGACGTCTGATGGTCCATCACGTTCCACCAACGCTGCTGACTGGCAGTCAGTGTCCCAAATTACATAGCTTGATGGAATTTTCAATAGGGCCTTTTTAGGCTTAAATAATCGGTATGTTCTCTTTTAAATCTGTATGCCCCTCTCCTCTCCTCTCCAGCCTAGAAATCCTCGATGTAAATGGCTAACCTTAAATCAAGCTTAAAAGCTTGGCAGAAAATATTTCAGTACTGAAACATCGTTGCACTCCCATACATCTATCAGTTGACCAGAAAAGAGAAAGCATATCCGGTAGGTCAGAGGCAAGTTCCAGAAGGCTTTTTGCAAGGTCTTTGAATAGAGCAAAAGCAAAAACGGCACTTGCCACGTGGATCATTATTGTAATGTTCCAAAAGCCACCTCAAGAGCGGTGGCAATCAGTTTATCAAACAACGTTTCATCGACACGCTATGTTTCAGCGGCAGATTGTTGTATCAACAAATCATTTCGTCGACAGCTCAGTCTTTTGACGTTTTTTTTTAAATAAGCAGCATCAGCTTTTAAGAATGGAACATGATAGCGTTATCGGGCCCTGCTCACATCGCCTTCTCATCCGCTTCTCATGCTCGGAGACGCTAACACATCTCTCGATTGTCCTGTCGCCTCACTTCCATTTCATAGGGAGGCATATATAAACGTATCTCTCGCTCATTCCCAAGCTGCAAGCTGTGCAAGCAAGCCTTGCGTAACTTAGTCAGTAGCCTGTCTGGCCCGCAACTGAACGGTCGTGGAATCGAATCCTGCCTAAAATTCTTACAATTTTTTCTTTACGATAAATGGATTACTTTATAAAGTTAAATCATTCGAGACATGCAGCACATGACATGTCATGTTTTAATCAATTTCATTTCACATTCTGGGTTGTTTGAAATCCCTTCTGAAGGTCATGTGACTGTGACGTCGTGACCCTATCGACCAATCAAGATTTTCCCGTCATGCCAGCGACGCCAGCTTTTCTGCGACACAAGTTCTTTAACACTATCGCATTAAAAAGAACACAGCAGCGAAACAGCCCACACATGGGTAACGTGACATGTTTTCCTAAACATCATAAGCTCGTATTAAGTGTTGGATGAAACACATTTACTTCTAGCATATGTACTTATATTTAATTTATTCATCACTAGTTGTTTTCTGAGTGTAGGTCGTTTGAAACCTTTTAGACTGAAGTGGCTGATGCAAAGGTTGTCAACCTCAATTTATTGTTGTTGGCTCTTTGTTGTTTTAGATGAACTATCTATCATAACCGTTTTTGAAACTATAAACTTATTACGCGAAGAAATGATTTTGGTTCACTGCAAACATAGTTTAGGCGATTTGAACCCATAAGCATACCAACAGGGTGGGAGGGGGGGCAAGGGGGGGGGTGCTTGCCCCCCTAGTTCTCAAAGTGGGGGCAAGGCATGTGTTTAGCCCCCCCCCCCTAAAACAGCCGCCAATGGGCAGGAGCCGCCTAAAGTCATGCCGAATTACAAAGGATAGTGATCTAGAATCTTGAAGGGTAAACTTCTTATGTGGGGATTATTTTAGTACAGTAACCGCATATTTTCTATATGTTTCTTGCAGGTGTTCTTTCTCGACAAGAAACAATTGAAGGCACACTATTATGCAAGGAACGGCTACCATGTCTGCCGCTACATTTACATCCACCAACATCTAGAGAGTGTTTTCAGAAATTTTCACTAGTTTACCAGGGGCGGCTCCAGAATTTTTTTTCGGGGGGGGCGCTGCATGAATATACTGAATTCTGGGGGGGCGGGGGGGGGGGGGGGGTCTTGTTTTCGTTGTTTATGTTTACCTTCATAAATAATCTCTCTGCTGACGAGCAGAAATCTCACCTAAAGTATACTTACGCAATCTTGGAGGGCTTAGCGCTGAATATAGGCATCCAATAGAACTTAGATCAAACGTTTTCATTGGATATCATTTAATCCATATTCTCTCTCTTGTGTACTTAAAATGCCCCCCTTTTGTTTCTTCTGTAATTAATCCCATTGAGTATAATAGGAACCTCATTAATTTTATGACGTTTAGTTTGCGCAGTGAATATCCAGATTATTTTAAAAACATCGCAAACTCTAAACAAATGTGTCATTAAAAAAAAAATGTTATCTCGGACGTGCGCAAGTTCGTCAGCGGAAAAACCACGAGGAGGATCGCACTGCGTTTTCAAAACTCAAATTTGTTCGCTTCACTCGCCTGGTCCTCTCGACTTCATTTCTATGTAGGAAACCCACGAATCTTGACATGACTTATGCGTGACTGAGGTTTCGTGCTTTTTAAAGCCAGATTCTTTGTCCAGAGCTTTTTTCCGGTAACTGTAGCCACAGCTGCCAAACGTGGATTTCTCATTCGCTTTGGTAGAGAACATTCTACTGTAATATCAAAAAACGGAATCAACTTGGGTGCTGAAAGCTTAGTCTTTTTTTCTTTACATTTTTCGGTGGGAAAGAGTTCACTATGGGCTGCCGCGACGACTTTGTTTTACACTTGGAAATGTCCAACTAACCTGAAATATCGTCGTTTCCCTCCGATACGGTGCAAGTTCGTCTCGTCTCACGCACGAAGAAAACTTGTCGCTTTCACTGTTCCTTGTTCCGACGAAGGATGATGGACGTCGCTAGAAGCGCTGGGAAGGCCATCAGGAAGACTGTACGGCTGGGGATGATGCTTCCGCTGCTGCTCGATCACCAGGTTTTCTGAACCTGAAGAGGGCGGTTCGGAAGGGTCGCCGTCCTGCTTCTTGACGCGCTTGTTGGAAGACGAAAAAAAATCTGCGGTTGATCTCT